TATTTGGAAAGTAAAACTTAAAAATGGCAGTTTATTCTTGAAGAATATATGAATAGATATGCTGTGTGCCTTGATTCAGAATCTCTGAAAATAGCATTGCTATGTATATCACCTGGAGGCTTTAGTACACTAGAAAAGTGGGTTGCCTAAAAGATTAAGTCCTCGGAACCAGTGCTTGTGCTGATGAAGAACATGGGGGCAAGAATCAGACTACCTAGCTTGCTATGCTTGTTCTGCCACTTGCAGTAGGGCTTTGATCTCATGAGCATCCATTTTTTTTTTTTTTTTCATTGATAAAATGGAGATTATAGGACAACTTGCTTCATGGGATTATTAAGATTAAATGAGATAAACACCAAGCACAGAGTTTTGCTTACCGCAGGAAGTCATAGCTGTTTATATTACTGTTACAGGATTATTATTTGAAGCCTTGACTTTCTAACTCAGCCCTTCCTACTTCCTAGCCCTTCTCATTCTCTCTTTATTTATATAGTTCTCTGTAAACCAACTCTTATTTCTTGTCAGTTTTAGAGTCACAATGGTCACCTTTTAAGATGTGCTGTCATTTCAAAGCTCTGGCTAAATACAACCAAAACTGACAACTATGAATAATTCCACAGAGCCCCTAAAACACTGACATTTCACTCCAACTTTCCTATATGCCACCGAGTTATTCGCTCTTGTTTGGCAGCTCTCTATTCTCAGCAGATTACAGATAGAGTTATTTTCCTCTGAAAAATAATCCAGCAGAAACCAATGTGGAGTAATTGGACTTCATAAGAGCATCACTGTCAAGTCTAAAAATATATGGGGAGATAATCACATTTTATTTCTCTCTTTCTTGTACATTTTCAGCATGTTCACGTCCACATTCTTCCCAGGAAGGCTGGAGACTTTAGCAGGAATGACAGCATCTATGATGAGGTGAGTCTGCTTTCTCTGATCTTATTGCTTGATCATAGGGCTGTGTGATGAAATCAACCTAACGAGCCAGGTATGGCCCAGATCTGGTCTTAAATGGGATTCCACTCAGTATGAACTGGGAAGTGATGGCAGAAGCTAAATAATCAAGAATGGTCATTACAAAAACATAGAAAATTAGTTATAATGATTTTCCTTTTCAAATGAAACCCAGCAGAAACCAAGTGTCCTTGTGATTTCTACCCTATCATTTATCAGGGCACTAAATATGTGCATGAAATATGGTCCAGTGTCTCCATTTCAGAAAACCTATAATACCACAAATGGAAGTCGCACAGATTGATACCTGATTTTTTTTTCGTCAAATGCTACATTTAACTTTAAAACCATTTTGGAACTCACTTTGTCTCTCCAGATAGCATTCATTCAGATTAGAGCTTTGAATTATCATCAATAAAAGCTAGGTTGGTTTGAATGATATACTTA